TTTACAATTCATTGACTTTGTTTAAGCATTATGCACATTTGTGTTACCCAAAAAACCAAGTCATTTCAGAAAATGTACACCAGATCGTTTTTCAGACATTTCACCTTCATTTTTTACCTTTCCAAGGTCGCAAAAACAATTTTTTCATAAGACAAGTTTGATGTAAAATTTTTCGCTCTTTCGAAATCCGCAGTCAAAAATAGGGTGTCCCGTTAAAAAAAACCATCTTGACCTTGAAGTAACCTTAAAAATTGACCTCAAGGTCAAAACCAATGGTACAATTGAATGACCCCCTCTGTTCTGGTCAACTTTTATCTAAACCATTTTTTTGTAGATACCGTAATTTGGAAGATATTCGGATCCATAGACTAAAATGACTCACCCTGTATATATACAGTGTGAGCCATTTTAATCGACGGATCCAAATTGCTCCTAAAATACGCCAGCTATAAAAAAAATGGTTAAGACAAGAATTGTAGAGGATAACGGGGATCATTTTACCATGCTAATAATTTTGACCTTCAGATCGATTTTTAAGGTCATTCGAAGGTCAAAGTCATTTTTTAAATTAGAACCCCTATTTTTGACACCGGATTCGAAAAGAACAAAAAATTTTACGTTAAAAATGATATTTAGATTTTTTTTCTGAGTCCAAGAAGGTCAAATTTTAAATGATTAAAAACAACTTAGAAGCTGTTAATGTCAATTTTAAAGATTTTTATGCATGATAAGTGTTTCGCGGTACTAACAAATACTAATAGAAGAAAAGTTGCGAAACGTTGTCATTCCATTTCCGCAATTGATGCGCAATAATCTCACTTTGATATGATCATTAATAAGGCGTAATAAATAAAATTTTAAAAGTAAAAACAAACACTTGTGCCTTGAAGCAAATGGAGGCAACTTTGAACAATTACTCCGTGGGTAATTATGATAAATAGCAGTTATGGTGAGAGACAAGGGGACTCACGATAATCAAGCACCCCAGATGTGAGAGGCAAGGGGACTCACGATAATCAAGCACCTCAAAGAAAACAAAATTTACTACGTCCACGTCGTTGTTTCCGGGTAACGCTAAAAGTATTGAATTAACATCTTCCAAGTTCTTAATTTGACTTTCTTGGACTCAGAAAAAAAATCTAAATATCATTTTTAACGTAAAATTTTCTGCTCTTTTCAAATCCGGTGTTAAAAATAGGGATTCTAATTTTAAAAAATGACTTTGACCTTCGAATGACCTTGAAAATCGATCTGAAGATCAAAATTATTAGCACGGTAAAATGATCTCTGTTGTCCTCTATAATTCTTGTCTTAACCATTTTTTTGTAGCTGGTGTATTTTAGGAGCAATTTGGATCCGTCGATTAAAATGGCTCACCCTGTATATATATATATATATATATATATATATATATATATATATATATATATATATATATATATATATATATATATATATATATATATATATATATATATATATATATATATATATATATATATATATATATATATATATATATATATATATATATATATATATATATATATATATATTCCATCAGATATTGGTTCAATGAATTCAAGCGTAGCCGAACATCCGCTTTTTATGAAGAGCGGCCAGGCCGTCCAATTGAGGTGACTGCGGAGGATATGGTCAACAAAATCCATGACATCGTGTTAGCAGACTGCCGGGTGAAGATCAGAGAGATGACATTGTAAGCATCTTAATTGAACGCGTACAAAATATCCTACACAAAAAATTGAACATGAGAAAGCTATCGGCGAGATGAGTGCCGCGTTTGTTTACAGTGGAACACAAACAGAATCGCATGACAACTTCGAAGCACTGTTTGGAGATGTTTAAGCGCAATCCGAAAGAGTTTCTGCGACGTTTCGTGACTGTTGACGAAACATGGATCCATCACTACACGCCAGAAACGAAAGAACAATCAATGAAAGCGAAAACGGTTCCATCGGCCGGAAAGGTTGACCGGAAAGGTCGAATGACCACCGTTTTTTGGGATTCGCGAGGCATTATTTTCACCAACTATTTGGAGAAAGGAAGGACAATCACGGGGCAGTATGCTAATTTATTGGGTCTATTCGATGCTGAATTGAAGAGAAAATGGTCCCATTTGGCGAAAAATGCTCTTTCACCATGACAACGCACCAGCTCACTCGCCCGCAATCGCCACAGCAAAACTGGTCGAATTACGCTACGAATTGCTGTCTACCCTATTCTCCAGATTTGACTCCCTGCGATTTTTATTTGTTTCCAAACATGAAAAAATGGCTTAGCGGGAAGCGATTCATGTCAAACGAGGAAGTCATCGCCGAAACAGAGACCTATTTTGCGGAGTTCGACAAATCATATTTTTTGAATGGCTTAAAAAAGTTGGAATATCGCTGGACTAAATATATCGAGCTAAAAGGAAATAATATTTAGAAATAAATAAAAAAAAAAGATGCGTTTCCTTCTCAAACACGGGTACTTATCATACAGCCGTCGTGTGTATGTGTGTGTGTGCTTGTGTGTGTGCGCGTGCGTGTGTGTATATATATAATCGTCTTACTTAATCATTAATTCAAAAACTTGCATGACTGTTTATAAAATGTTACACAACTTTTTGTTCATAATAATATAATGTACAATTATATTACGAGACCTATACTTAGTGTCAAATATCCTCGAACATTGGCATTATCTGTAACTCAATACTGGGTCTGTATCGAAGCCAAAGCTTAACCTGTCTTACAGCCTTTACTAGGTAAAGGGGGATATCTGGGATCTATATTTTATGATGGCTCGTTATATAGCCAGATCGTCTACTGGTACCGGGACAAGATTGGTTGCCGACACTTGGCCGCCGATATTGGACCAATGTTTGGTCAATTCAACTAGCTTAGCAATTTCTACGTGGGTAGATATTTTGTATGTGCCCGGGGAAAGAACTCCCCTCAAGTTCAAAATGAGATAAGAATTAGTGATAGAGGGAGAGATATGACAAAAAAATCGTCTCCCATGGTATTCTCTTTTTGTAGCTTAGGGTTTTCGATTGGGTGCGAAATCATCGGGTGCATCACAAATATCCGGACACAGACGCGGATCCGCACAACAGTAATCGTGGGTTCTTCTTCTCTCACATGGGCTGGTTGATGATGAAAAAGAAACCAGAAGTGATTCGAGAAGGTCGTGAGATTGATATGAGCGACATACTGGCAGATCCTATTATTGTGTTTGTCGATAAGTAAGTTTATCTCTCGTAAAAACAAGGAAAAAAACGGGATCGTCGATAGCTATTCTGAGAGTTTTATATCTGACAGGTGAACTGCAAAATAAAACACGCGATTATATCAAATTAAATTATCGACTCTGTTTGAATAGTCAACTTCATTGTGTTTCTGTCGTCATCGTGACTTTTTAGATATGGAGAATCTTTTCAAATGATGAGTTATTCGGCTTCAGTGAAAAAAAGAAAAAAAAAACGTCGGATATCTTAGCAAGCTTTATTAATTTTTTCTAGTTTATATTGTACGTTCTGTTATCAGGTATTTCATGATACTTAAACCTATTTTTTGCTTGGTGCTACCGACAATGGTGCCGGTTTATGGATGGAATGAAACTTGGATCAGGTCGATCTACATACAAATATTTCGCTACGTATTAGGCAATCATTTCTTATTCATCGTCGGTAGCTTGTCTCACATGTGGGGTTCGAAGCCGTATGACGCGTGAGTAATTAGTCTGCGTTTGAAAGACGGGTTATTTGATGATAAAAAAAACTGCATTAGGCATTTCAGACGTTTAATCAACAGGAATTAATTTTAAACAATAAGAATCGCGCAAGGATGCTGATATAATCTTATTTTATTATTATTATATTATTTTATTATTATTAATTTATTTTATTATTATTATAAGAGAAGTTACAATGCCTTAAAAATGTTTTTAATAGACGAATTTAAAACGTTATGAAATGTTTAAAATGTCTGTAAAACATTTTATAATAATTCTTCACGAGATTAAGTAGCAAGCTACGCACAAACAAAACGTGCGAGCGCGCGATTGGCTGGCTTCGCGGTGAATGATAAGAAGGTCGCAGGATTGAGAGGTCGATCAACAAGATGCAGTTCAAAAAGTTAACAATGCTTTAATAAAGTATATTTCACAAATCACAGTTATTAGTTAACAATTAGTACTATAGTAATATAGATTTAGGGCGATTCGCATCCGCGATCGGCGTGAGTCGAAAGATAAAAGCGAGTCCTGTTAGTAACTACAGCTGTAGCTGCAACGCGGTTGCAAGCAAAAACGCAGACACTGAGTGCAAGCAGTGAGCCCCGCACGGGGCAAAAGCAGTGACCACTGCGCGCAATTTGCAATTAGTAAGCAGAAGCAAGCGGAATGCAGACCGCAATATTTTTTTCAACTCGAGCTCTTAGCGGAGACTGACTGCCAACGGTTAGTTGATCCTAGGAGATAGAAAAAAGGCTTGTTCCTTCTAGAACGTTCGCTAAAGAAGTTTATGAAGAAAAATGTATTTATTGCGAAGCACGTACCTCGCACGCGGCTCGCGAAATTTCGCGAGGAGTCCTCACGCGGTTTTAGCGTGACGAACAGCTGTCGGACCGCTTGCCTGACTTGCGAATTCGCAGTTTAGACTTACGATGCTCTTAAGCAGTAATGTTTTAAAGATATTTAAATTAGGATGTCTTTAAAATTCCTTTTACACTAGAAATCCAAATGTATAATTTTTATACGTTTATGTGTGTAAAAACGTATAATTAATTTGTACGCATTTATATACATATAATTTTGTTTTATATTGTACATGTTTAACTCTGCAAGTTTCCACATTTAAATGCGTATTTTTTAAACGTGTAAATAAAACTTATATTTCTAGTTTAGAGTAGCATTTTGTTCTGTAATATATCTACATTATTATATTAGGAAATAGATTCATTTTTCATCGCCAGTTACGATACGCCACAAGAAACTTTTTTTTATATCTTGCAAGCAAAAAAATCGAGATTTAAACGATTGGCAATAGCATTTTCGGTCAATTCATGGCATGTGGTAGCCATCTTCCTTCTTTCTAGATCTTTTCCATGGCTTGCAAACGTTGTAAAATCGTTGATTTATCGACTATGAGCTGTTGAGTCAATTCTTTGAATGTTTGAGCAGGGTTTTCTTCTAATAGAGCTTGCAATTGTTCATCTTCGAACTTTTTCGATTGATCTGGCCGTTGTTTGTCGTGAATGTCATAATCACCACTTTTGAATCGTCGAAATCAATCTCTATATACTTTTTCCGATTGAGTAGATTCACCATAAGTTTCCGCAAGCAATCGATGAGTTTCAGCTGCATTTTTTTTCAAATTAAAGTAGTGTAGAAGTACATATCGGAAAAACAACTTTTCGCGTTCCATTTTAATTCGGTTATAGATAAGCACACGTGTAAACAAAGAATGTCGTCTGTGACTGAATTTTAGTGGGAAATATTCAAACTTCAAAATGATATAAGTAACAGATGTCTCTGCCTATAACATATACAGCTAAAGTCATCTAGACGTGAACAGTGGCTTTCAATGCAATCTCCTAAACATAAATCGAAATATCTATTATAGTGCGTTCCCACTTAGCACGTCATGTGTCGCGTCGTCCTTCGCAGACCAATCAAATCGTCGCATTTTATTCGTCGTAAAATTAATAAAATGGGACGATTTGATTGGTCCGCGAAGGACGACGCGACGCGTGACGCGCTCTAAGTGGGAACTCACTATAATAGATATTTTGATTTATGTTTTTGTATATTTGTGTATTATATCTTGTTCAAAATATTCTTTATTATTATTTTACTATCCTTTTCTCTGTTGAAATGAAAGTAAGATAACATTAAGAATTTGTTGAATTTGTTTTGATTCTCTTTATAACAATATGAATAAAAAAGAGAATACAGTTTTTTTTAATTTTTTTTTTTAAATAAAAATATCTTTGATTTTTCATGAGAAAAGGACATTTTAGATTTTTTATTATTGCATCTTATTGTCGTTTAAAGACTGATTAGTTACATTTAGAACTTTTCCCTCTACAATAATTATAATTAATAAAAATATAGTGAATACCGTTACGTTAAACACGCACACATACATGTGCGCGCACCCATACCCACACGCGTACACACACATACACATCTCGCATAAATACCTAAAAATATATTTGCTAACGAGCATATATTTAATTATAAAACTAATGTAGTAGCAACAGTATCAAAAGTTTTAACAACAAACATGTTTTCAGTAAATGATTAGCTGAGGCAATGAGATCTTTTTGTACGACTTTTATTGACTAAAATTAATACCTGTTTTGTCGCATTATTATAACGATATAAAAGATTATTTTTAAAATATTATTTCGACACCAGAGATGCATTTTCATTAACTGGAGTCTTTAGTCAAAATATTAAAAGAGACTGTTTTAAACATAGGGGCATTAAAGCGACGAACAACAAACTGGTCGCTTTTCTGGCGATGGGCGAAGGCTGGCATAATTACCATCACGTGTTCCCGTGGGACTACAAAGGGGCTGAATTTGGTGATTACAAATTGAACGTCACGACGATGTTCATCGACTTCTTCGCGAAAATCGGCTGGGCGTACGACTTGAAGCAACCGTCACGACAGCTCGTAATGTCTGTCATAGCAAAGAAGGGTGATGGCAGTCATCATATGTGGGATTCTGTGCCGCATCCTGACAACAAGATCGAAAAATGAAAGAATGATTCAGTCTTAGGATCAAGTTGCAAAGTCTTCCGTTATTGAACAAGTTTGACAAGTTAGACTTTAAAAATCTCGACTGTGCAATAATCCTTATTAGTTACTCGCAACTTTTATGTTATGCTGAGAAATGGGAAATTTACATATAAAATGCCGTGATGGTTACTGATAATCGATACAATGATAAGATTAAATTAATTATAGTAAAATATTAATTGCAATAAGGTATAATTAATATATTAATATAACATATAATTAATTGCATTTGCAATGTTGATCTTATAAAACAAATAAAAGATTATTGAAACAAAATAAAAGACACATGAATCCTTAATAATATTTATTTATCGTATCTTTAAAGCTCTTTTTGTACCTTGATGCAACCATGTGACCATGCGACCAAATTTGTGATGTGAGAAGCAAGAAACGACATACTCACACAACAATATGACGTTTTAAATACGTTTAAAAAACGTTTCAAAATTTTTAGTCGTTTCAAAACAGACATCTTTATGACGTCTTTAAGATGTTTTATTTGTTGTTTTGATTTAAGACGTGTTAGAGATATTACTTTAAAGCGTCTTTGAGATGTTTTGTTTAAGACTTTAAGATGTTTATTTATATATGCTACTATCCGAGCAAAAATATATCTAGCAGAGCAGATTTCAAGACTAGTAGCTGGATAGTAATGATTATATAACTTTTCTAGCCAGTTACTAACTCGTGTCTGGCTAAATATTCCTACTCTTTTGAATGTCCTCAGTCTTTTGAACGTTAGGACTATCTAGTAACTATATCAATTACATAGATAACCCTTATAGAAATATCATACTAAGAATCATTGATAATTACTTATTTTCAGTATTAAAAATACTGAATAATAAGTAATTAATGATTCTTAGTATGATATTTCTATAAGGCAATAGCTAGATGAAAAAGATTACACAGTAACGAGATAGAAAATCGATAAATCTTGAATAGAAATTAGATATCAGAACTGTCTAGTACTTATACCAATTATAGTTACAAGTTATTTTTTTGTATCTAGCTACTAGATAATTTTTCTGATACAGCTACTACCCAAGTTGAATACAGAAGTCATGATGACATCATTTGAAGTTGATCAACAGGATGTCATTATGACATAATTTGTCACTTAAATGTCATTGATAGTAAATAACGCAAAAATAATGTAAAAGTGATAAAAATAGTTATATGTTGTATTATAAGTAAAAGTTCTTAAAAAGAATCTCTTTAGTTTCCGAAATGTTTATACTGCCTTAAAATCTTATTGCAATTGTATAGACAGTAGAATGATGTTCAAGAACGATCTGAGATAACATTGAGAAGCGAATTAATTTGAAACATTGAAACAATATCCTTTTTTCAATATATTTAATTTAAGAAAAGTACTAAAATTTATGTCCGGGCTTTTAAGGTTCAACGGCGAGTCTCTAAGACTCCAGGTCCTTATGACCGCGAGGAACCTTTTGGTTAAACGGCAAGTCTCTATGACTCCAGGTTCTTGTGACCGTATGGAAACAAAATAATTTCAATAACAAGTTTTCATGTCACTGTCACGAATATAGTAAAGTTACAAGCCTACAAAAGCTATAGTCGATATGATCGAATTTGTTTTATTTGCAGAGGTTCACAGTATACGCTTTGTCATGACAACGTGTTTACTAACATATTAAAAAACATTTGTTTTCTGTTCGTTCTTCACTTTTCCAAAAACTTTTAGAAAGCTTAGATGGAATTTCTCCTTGAAGAATTGATTTCAAGTTCCTGAATTAAATCGAAGATTCCTGTTCTTTGGCCCTTACTGTCTCCCTATAACGACGATTTTAAGTTCCTGAGCTATAACGACGTTTTCCTGTTACTAATGGATCTTGCTGCCTTCCTACAACGATGACTTCAAGTTCCTGAGCTACACCGACGTTTCCTGTTCCTAAAGATTCCTGCTGTCTCCAAACCAAAATTGACTACAAGTTACTGAACAAACATCTAACGAATTTCTACAAACGACGCTTTCCGTATCTAAATGACATTTCCCACATTTCTTAAATTTAGTCCATTAAAATCACGCTAATTATAAAGTTACAAATTTAATATTAGTTAATTGTTCAAATGAACACATCTCAATAATCAGTAAAAAAGATGATGTCAATGTGACTAAATTATGATATATTTTGATTTAAATATCAAGCGACATGGTAGTGTCGCGAAACCAAGTGCAAGCGCGAAGCAATGCACAGTGGTCTAAACTTTGTAAGCTGGCCAAAAATAATTATCGTTATTATAAAATGATAAAACTATGTACATATATGTTTTTAAGGTCACTGATTACAATACTGCAATCAGTTATTTAATATCCTATCTCTACAAAAAATTAATTAATAAGAAACAAAGAAATGCTAATAGAATTACTTTATAGTTTTTTTGGAATATACTTATACTTGGATACGTAGTAATATTTTAATATATACGTATATTAATACATACGTAATATTTTAATACATACGTATGTGTGTGTGTGTGTGCGCACTATATGTTATATATAAAAAATATTAATATTTTATGATACATATAAACTAAAAAGCATATTAATATACATAAATTCTTAAAGAAATTCTATTTAATCAGACTTTAATTTGTCTTCGTCTTTGTCTTGCAAATCAAATATTTTCTCTATTTCACAATATTCTTTCGCAGTTTTCTCACTCATCAAAAGTAAGTTTTTTACATCCTCAGAAATGTTATTTTCTTTTCTGGGAGCTTTTTGAAGAGATGAAATAAAAGGATCTGAAGTAAGTAATAACCCATACAGCATAGTAATGTTGAATCAATGTTGAAAAAATGTTGAATTGCAGCAATATCAATATTGCAACAACATTGAGAAACATTGAATCAACGTTGCAGAAACCTTGATATAATGTAAACATGTTCGCAATTGTTGATTTTTCCTTGATATTTCAACATCTTATGGAAGATTAAAATGCAACGTTGTGTGAACATTGAATGACGTTGTTTCAACGTTTAATCAATATTGTTGAGACGTTGTTTCCACGAATATACAAGATGATTAGAAACAATCTTGGATCTTTGAAAAGACATAATTTTGTAATCAATGTAAAAAAATCAATATACAGGGTAAGTCATTTTAGTCTATGGATCCGAATATCTTCCAAATTACGGTATCTACAAAAAAATAGTTTAGATAAAAGTTGACCAGGACAGAGGGGGTCATTCAATTGTATCATTGGTTTTGACCTTGAGGTCAACTTTGAAGGTTACTTCAAGGTCACGATGGTTTTTTCTAACGGGACACCCTATTTTTGACTGCGGATTTCGAAAGAGCGGAAAATTTTACATCAAACTTGTCTTATGAAAAAATTGTTTTTGCGACCTTGGAAAGGTCAAAAATGAAGGTGAAATGTCTGAAAAACGATCTGGTGTACTTTTTCTGAAATGACGTGGTTTTCTGGGTAACACAAATGTGCATAATGCTTAAACAAAGTCAATGAATTGTAAAAGTGTAAATCACTTTAACTAGCTTGACCTTGAGGTCAATTTTCAAGGTTGTTTGAGGCTCATAACGCATTTTTTGATCAGTAAACCCTATTTTTGACCGCAGAACCTGTTTCTTGACAATGGGCTCTTAAACAATGGCACTTTTTACATGAGCATAGGGATTTTTTAGTTTTTCGACCTGACCTTTTGAAGGTCATATCAAGGTCATATCAAGGATAAATGGAAATCCATTTCTACTACGGGAGAAGCGGACGTAAGGTATCCGATACCTAATGCTAATAATCAACGATTGAAAAAAACTAAACAATTACGTTTGATTTAAGATTTATAATTATTGTTATAATAATAGAGTTTTATTCCTTTTCTTTCTTACTCACTTCTGCATAATTGAAAAATTTACTATTTAAAGTTGCTTAAATTTAAAAATTCCAAACATACATACAGGGTATGTAGGTAATTACATTCACAAGTTACCTTTCCAGAATGGCTGATTATAGTCCTAATGAGATTGTTGATATTATATTAGTTTTAGGGGAGTGTCATAGCAATTACAATGCAGCATCAAGGCTTTACGCTCAACGTTTTCCTGAAAGGCGACATCCAACTGATATGACAATACGTAGTTTAGTCCAAAGAGCTCGCAATGGACATCTTGTTCGTCAACGTCAACATCATGAATATGACGAAAATGATGCGCGAGCTGTAACTATTTCAGCAATAGTTCACCTTAATCCTCATGTTAGTACTCGCCAGATTGAAAGGGAAATAGGTATACCACAAAGAACTGTTGTTAGAATTTTAAGAGCTCTAAATTATCACCCTTTCCACATCACTCTTACGCAGGCTTTACAGCCTAATCATCATCTGATGCGTATTGCTTTTTGCCAGTGGGCTTTACAAATGTTACACGATGATCCTAATTTTTTTAGGTATGTGCTTTTCTCAGATGAGGCTAAATTTTATAGTGACGGACAACTTAATAGACACAACTGCCATTATTGGTCAGATGTTAATCCCCACTGGTATAGGCCAATAGATCATCAAAATCGATGGAGTATTATGGTGTGGTGCGGCATTGTAAATGGTTATTTGATTGGACCTTATTTTTTTTAAGAGAACGTTGATAGACACAGTTACTTATCGTTGCTAAGAGATCACTTACCAGGCTTATTAGAAGATGTTGACTTAGCAACAAGAGCAAGAATGTGGCTTCAACAAGATGGTGCTGCACCGCATTATGCACTCATTGTACGTACCTTTTTAAATGCCAGTTACAATGACAGATGGATTGGACGAAGGGGTCCAGTTGAATGGCCTCCTTGCTCACCAGATCTGACGTCGCCTGATTTCTTTTTATGGGGATACTTGAAAAATGTTGTTTTTGCTGAACGACCAACCACAAGAGATGATTTTATGGACCGCATTCGTAGAGCTTGTGCAGCCATTCCTAGAGCTACCCTGCTTAGAACTGTGGATAGTTTTCAAAACAGATTGCAGTTATGCCTCGAAGCCAACGGAGGTAATTTTGAACAATTACTCCGTGGGTAATTCATTTAAATTACAGTGTCAGTGAGAGGCAAGGGGACTCACGATAATCAAGCACCCCGACGTGAGAGGCAAGGGGACTCACGATAATCAAGCACCCCGACGTGAGAGGCAAGGGGACTCACGATAATCAAGCACCCCAACGTGAGAGGCAAGGGGACTCACGATAATCAAGCACCCTAAAGGAAAATTGACCTCAAGGTCAAGCTAGTTAAAGTGATTTACACTTTTACAATTCATTGACTTTGTTTAAGCATTATGCACATTTGTGTTACCCAGAAAACCACGTCATTTCAGAAAAAGTACACCAGATCGTTTTTCAGACATTTCACCTTCATTTTTGACCTTTCCAAGGTCGCAAAAACAATTTTTTCATAAGACAAGTTTGATGTAAAATTTTCCGCTCTTTCGAAATCCGCAGTCAAAAATAGGGTGTCCCATTGGAAAAAACCATCGTGACCTTGAAGTAACCTTCAAAATTGACCTCAAGGTCAAAACCAATGGTACAATTGAATGACCCCCTCTATCCTGGTCAACTTTTATCTGAACCATTTTTTTGTAGATACCGTAATTTGGAAGATATTCGGATCCATAGACTAAAATGACTCACCCTGTATATTCTACGTAGAAAAAACATCCGCACTTCTATTTTCAACGTCGCAACGTCTCATCAACGTTTTTTCAACGTTCTGTGCTGTATTGGTAATCGTTTAAATATATCTTCATTAGTAGTTAATCTAGAAGTTTTTCTACTATGATATTCTCTAAATCTTCGAATATCTTTATGCCTAGCCTCTAGAGCTTCTTCAGACAGCTGTCCAATAGGAAGTATAACTTCTTGTATTATAGGTGACCCATGGATTAAAATTTTATGAACAGTGGGTGGCATGTAATACCACGGATAAAGATTAATATATATTTTAGCAGTTTCCTTGCAATATATATTAAACATTGATCTCGCAACCACTAGATAATGCTTTCAAAATGATACTAAAGCGAAAAATAACTTCTTCGTCTATTCCTGTAATACGTAAAAATGTAGGACGATTTTAAGTTTTCACTTGCCTGTAATTTCTGCTGACTTTTTCGGATTTTGAAAAAAACATCTTGCTGTATTTCCATCATTTGTGTTTCTGTAACCAGATTTTGAAGTATCCACTATTAAACCTAATTCAGATTGAAGTTTATCCTGAATAATCTTTTTTCGCGTTTCCACATATGTTTTACTACCATCCAATATACTTGTCTAAAACATTGTTATAAATATTAAAATAAAAATTTAAACAGAAAAAGACATGCGCGCGGGCGCACATAACACGCACGCACACGCATAGTATTCTTACTTTCCATTTCTTTATATCTAAGCGATAAGAAATGTAAAATACATTCGGAAAATTTTATATAAGAATGAAGAATCGATATTCCAAATTTAAATTTTGTTGGGTCGTCAGGTCTGGATTCTAAACTTTTTAAATCGTTTATTTCTGAAATTTTGGCTTCACAAATATAACATCGTATGCTGGATATTTCAGTCAGAGCGTTGCATATCTATTAACGTATAACATGAATTATAAAAAATTTAAGAGTAAAGAGAATATAATTTGTATATACTTGAGAAAAAATCTTACCTTTCCATCAATCATTGTCAGTGTTAAAGAAAACTTCATATAACACATATATAATTATGAGACATAAATGGTTGAAGTTTACTTATTTGTTCATTTATATACTCTTCCTCTTTTTTTGATATATTAGTCGTTTTTTGAAGCCACTAAAACCTTATAGGTCTACAAAAACGAGTAAAAGATGGACGAGGAATCTCCCATACGGTTTCTTCCGTTTCATCATTTATTAATTTTAAAGACACAAGGCAGGTTAAAAAGATACTGTCATTGGTGATTCCTGGTGATATTCATTTTTATTTATAGTGAGATTGGTTTGAACTTCCATCAAACCCCACTTACATATTAGTCTTAAATAATTATGAGTAGAAATTTTAGAAGAATCTTGTAGATATTGGAGTATTCTATCACTAGTATGATTGAGCAAGGATTGCAATTGCACTTCGCATTTTTCTTCGATAACAACTATATCTTTTGGATATGCAGCACTTTTTGCCTGTAGTATATCATTGTATGATGAATCATGATATAAATCATGGTTGTTTTTTCGCTATATTTCGCTATATGAGAACATATTGCTATTTCATTAAATTAGCTGTTAAGATAAGAGAAACACTCTCTTCTGCAGAAAGTTTCATTAAATTCTTAGTATTATCTTTTTTCCACGTATGCAATATCTGTTTTGCTCTACTAGGACTATTCGTTTCTTTTATAAGTTTAGCAGCTACGTTATTTCCTTCAGCTCGAAAACTTATTGATGTTGCAAAGGAAAGTTCTGTTAAATTTTTACTTTTTCAAAGCATTTCAGTTTTTCTTCGTTTGTTCCTTTTACTAGATCCACTGAATGGTATTTCTAGCCGACCATGTAAAATATTACACTTACTAGACGAACCAGAAAGATTTCGATAGACTCTAAGTGGGAATGTAATCTTCTTATTGAGCTACAACTCGTTTTTGCGCATAAAACGTTCATTGATACATAAGCTACCTTTCCATTTCTTAAAATACAAGTGAAAGAAATATGTTTGCATATAATCTATTAATTCTTTTTTTCCATCTTCATCTTCACTGAAATTAAACACATCAATTAAATAATCTAAAACATATTTCTTCCGTTTCTGGTCTGATTTATCATAACTTTCCGTAATTTTTATATGAATTTCGCAACGACTTATATCACGCGAAGATATAATTCTAACCGTGTCGAAATCTACCGAAAGATTGGCTGCAAACAGTTTGACAAACAAGAAAACATCGCGATACATTCCTTGGAACAATGTTTTTGCATGAAAGCAAAACATCTTAAAACAACTGAAATTCACCGGGGAGCACATAGGAGCACCTAATTCTTTTCTTTTCAGTTTTGTACACTTTCAGTTTTTGTACATAAGCTATAATATAAGACAAGACAGAATGTATCACATAACGTCACATTTTTTATATAGACTGTTTTATTCGAGAAGATTCATAAAACTTGTAATATATATGAAAAATACATTATAAATACTTATTAAAAATCATATATCGCATTCCTATGGTAATATTTCTTTAGAATATAATATTATTTATATGTCATATAAAGGAAATGAGAATCTATAATGTATAGTCGTTGTACGAACAAATGTAATATCGTACTAACAAAATGATATGAAGCTCGTACAAAAAATTTTTCTATTTTCAGCTGATATTCTGGAGTTATTAATAAATACTAGGTTGATTGATAAGTACTTAGAATGAAAATGAAAAAGTATTTTGCAAAACTCAACTTTACTCTTCAACATAATCTCCTTTTAGCTCAATATACCGAGTCCAACGAGTTTCTAGCTTCTTTAAGCCTTCCAAATAATAAGAAGTTTCTAAACCGCCAAAATATAAGTCTATTTCCCATTTGACCTCTTCATTTGAAGCAAATCTCTTTTCCTAGAACCATCTTTTGAGATTTAGAAACAGGTAGAAGTCACATGGGGCCAAATCTGAAGAATACGGTGGATGTGGGAGCAATTTATACCTCAATTCGTCCAGTTTTGCCATTGCTTTTACCGATTTGTGAGCTGGTGCATTGTCTTGATGAAAGAGAAATTTTTCTTCGTTAAATGAGACCGTTTTTTCTTGATTTCATCATTCAATTTGTCCAACAATGATGCATAATATTCTCCTGTGATTGTTCTTCCTTTTTTAAGATAATCGATAAAGATTATTCCATGTGCATCCCAAAATACAGTGGCCAGAACCTTTCCAGCCGATTGTTGCGTCTTTGGTAGCTTCGGAGCACTTCTACTCTTTGGAACACATTGTGTCGATTGTTGTTTCGATTCAGGTGTATAATGGTGATATGTATCGACGCAAAAATTCCTTTGATTTGCGCCTAAACCTGTCCAAACAATGCTGAGAAGTGCGAACTCGTTCACGTTTTTGATCGATTGTTAGCAATCACGGCACCCATTTTGCAGTTAGTTTTTTCATACATAAATATTCGTGTAGGATATTGAATACACGTTCAGATAAGATGCCCATAGCCGCAGCTTGTTCACGCAATTTCACTTTGGGGTCATCCAACACGATATTATGGATTTTTTCACTCATTTCTGGTGTAGTCACCTCATTTGGACGACCATTGAGTTGTGCATCCGATGTGCTGATACGACTACATTTAAACTCAGCAATCCAGTTATATACGGTTCCATTCGACGGAGCAGATTCCCTCAAAGTTTTTTAGAAGTCCTCAATTATTTCTTACGGTTGCAAGCCTTTCAAATAGAAATATTTAATCACTGCACGAATTCCAGTTTTTTCCATTTTTACAAAATATCAGAGTGCTTTTGGTGGCTGACACAAATATATTGATTGTCATAGCTGTTTGGAACTGTGTAGTGAGAAGTTTGAAGATTGGTACTACTGGAAATTCAC